ATACTGCCCTTTGTAACGCAATACCACCCGGCGTTGCCCAACCTAAAAGACACACTCACGGGGAAATGGCGCCTTATAGATAATCAATCACAACTGAGAGAAATCTTTAAGGAGTCCCCCAACATCTCATATCGTAAGGGAAAATCCCTAAAAGACATCCTAGTTAAAGCTAAGCTATGAAGGCTTTAGAACTTATTCATCTGCGAACGGCCGGAGTCGTGCAGGCTTGTCAACACCAGGTCAACACTTCTATCACTCCACTTCTCTCAGAATTTTTTTCTTACTTAAAGTCTTGAACCTTAATAAATTCTTGTCGCACTGTTTTTATTTTTTGCGGATCCTGGGCGATCTGAATAGACAAACTTTGCTACACATAACAAAAATATGAAACAAAGAAAAAAATTCGTCCAACTCAGGGACCCTCAGAGCAGCTATTACTATGACGTAAGACTTGGCACGATGTACAGATGTTTAGAGCATTTTTCATATTTGAAGCACTAGCAATAGTCCTGGCAACCGAAGCGAGATTAGGATTTTTTCCTTGAATATTTCAATTTTAGGCACTTTTGTAGGTAAATTTAAAATTAATTTCCCAGGGAAAGAGAGAGTACCCTGGGAGCGAGGTTGTACCGTTTATACTCGTCCCCAGGGTCATCTCCGCTTTCAAGATGGCGGGCGGTTTATAGCGGTAGTTTAATTTAGTGATAGTCGGGCGCGAGATGTTTCTTGGTGAAATGATCGACGACTTCCCAAACCGATTGAAGAAAAAAAAATACTCGCAAAAATGTCTCGCATGACTCGCATGGCTCACATGGCTCGCACCCTAGCTCGCATGGATCACTGGCTCGCGGATTTATCAGACCCTAACGTGGATATATGCTTAGCTTGAGAGCTAGTTCACAGGTATTCCACCTAAATAACTAATGAAAACCTAACAACTAAACAACACTAATATCACAATTCATCAGGTAAAGTCACAAATTAAATACTGACTAAAACTATTCAAAACTATTATTACAATATTACCGCCGCAGTCAAAATACTATTAAAACTAATGTCACAAATTTACTAATCCCCGAAATTTAGCGATCTAATTGTGTTTAAAAAACATTTTCGCTGTTCACATTTATGACTCACCTAAACTTTGGGCATTTGTATGCCCCAAATTATGGCATACAGCCCATGGAGCTCGTTGCTGTGATTTACTTTTGGTCCGAGATTAAGATTCTTTCCAGCATGTTCACTTGTACCTCTTCCAGTGGTACTTCATTTAGACCCGCTTCAGGATGTCAGCTACAGTAGTATAAAGCGCTCATAAGGCCGGTAACCAATCAGGAGCCGAGAAAGACAATGGGTTATTGTTTGGAGAACAATGGATGGTATTGTTCTCCAAATCCAAGATGGCGGCGCCCTTGAGAGGAAAAGTCGGCCATGTTGGAAAACAGCCCACCAGCCTCAACGGAGGACTGAAATCGGTCTCACGGATTTCCATGGCGACACAATCGTAAAAAAAATCGATAAAATACTTACAGTGTCCGGCCATGATGAAGACTGAGTGACTTGGGTCTGAGGTCTGACTATAGGGAGGCTGTCCCAAAACATCATGGGATGATGACCTCATCAGTATCCAATCAGAGTAGAGAAATCAGAATGAATTAAAACTCGTACAGTTGGGCTTCCCCAGTCCCCCTCTCTTAAGGAGAGCATTTAAACCCTGCAATCTCTGCGTCACGTCATAACGTTAGAGATTACCCCTTACATAAAACAAAATAAATAAAAGTAATAATTAAAAAAATTTACCAATTTCTCAAGGTCTTCCATGTGATTGATCGTTGATTTACTCCAGCATTAATTGAAAGCGAGATGACAAGAGTGTTTTCCCTGCTTTCTTTCTCACTTATATGAACCTTGAGGGTTCACCCAGGTGGTTCATTTTGTGACATCAAGGGGTACCCTTTTACCCCTCTTTTTCGAATTTTCAGTACTTTTTAGTCACTTATGTGACACTTGAATAACATAAAACAGAATAAATAAACCATATTAGTTTCTCAATTTCCATTTCCATCTGTAAACAAAACGAGACGTATTTAAGTTAATGCGTGAATATCCCTGAGTGCGTTTTGGCGTAAAACATTGTAGTTGAGCTGCTCTGAACCTTTGCTGTTAAGCGAGAACCAGCGTAGTTCTATCCTGTTATAGATCTTATGTAAATTTCTGCACTTGCCTTAAACAA